GTGTACAAAATTTTTCTCGTTTATGACACATAATGTTGTGAAATTTTTCCAATGAATTATTGATGATGAATTATCATAGACATGGGTGGTTCATCATGTGCCATCTGCTCTACTTTGGCAGCTTTGGAATTGGATCTTCCACTCAATATTATTACTGTTGCAATGCTCTGTGAGGTGAGTTGTTTTTTTTTCATATGAATCATTTGTTATGATGACTGTCTTGTTACAATGAAACACACTTTCGCATTGTGTACATCGTTCTGACATTATAACAGAACATGCCAAGTGGAATCGCAACCAAACCTGGTGATGTCGTCACTGCCATGAACGGTAAGACCATTGAGGTTGACAATACTGATGCTGAAGGCCGTTTAATTTTAGCTGATGGTTTGTGCTATTTGAGCGATAAAAAGCCACAAACTCTCATTGACATGGCAACCTTAACAGGTGCTGTCATTATTGCACTCAGCCATGTGACTGCAGCAGTTTTCAGTAATTCAACGCCATTGGTCGAGGAATTGGAAAAGGCAAGCTTCCAAACCAGCGATTATTTGTGGAGATTACCAATCTTTAGAGAAGATTATTTGGAACAAATGAAATCAGATGTATCCGATTATAACAATATTGGTGGTAGACCAGGAGGTTCTTGCACAGCTGCTACCTTCCTTAGTGAATTTGTTGACTTCTCTAAGGTGAAACAATGGGCTCACCTTGATATTGCTGCTGTCACCAAGACCAAGGTCGGTTATACTGGAAGACCAACTCGTGCTGTTATTGAATTCTTGCAACAACGTGCAAGAAAGTAAACGAGTGAAATTACAAAAGTGGAAGTACGAATTGACAATTTATAAACTTTTATTTATTAAATGTCAAAACGAGACATGAATACAAAGATGACAAAATGCCTGTAGAGATGTGGCATGTCCATCTCGATCTGTCGTTCCAGGTGCCATGGCGCGATAATCAGACATAAGAACTTTTAATTTCAATATTTTATTTTCCAAAATATGCTTATCTCTTTTCCAATAAAACAAAGTCGAAAAAGAACCTTTGTGCATCTCAATCATGTCACTCACGAGTGCAGCACCTTTCACTGAATGCATTACTCATCCATACAGGCCAATCCTTTCAAATCCAATTATACAGCACCACGTCACAACACAAGCGCCTCCCAGAACCGCAGAGTCCTTTTGCACGTCCAGCTCAATTATCAAGCGTAACACCACATCCAACAAACCATCAAACACATCTGCCCATCCAAAACTCGTTCGCTCTCGACCATCCTTGGGCGTTCCAAAGCGAAGGCAAACACAATTTTCTGTTCACTGTTTCAAAACAACCAAAAGAAAAAGATCCTCTTCTTCCATCTCAAAACAAGAACTCCTCTCCGTTCTCCGTCACACTCAACAACATGCATCCCTCTTACTAGGATGCAGTGTCTCCACCGTGAAAAGGCGTTTCTATGAATTGAAAGAAGAAATTGGCATTTCCCATTGGCCCAAAGATTATTACGAAGAATTAATGAACCATCGATCATTCTCCTTCATCTATCCACTTAGCTTGAAATTCATATTAAATTAATGTCCACATTGATAAGAACAGAGTTACTTCCAAGTACTACTAGTAATATCCACCTCTTCCACGACCACGTCCACGACGATGAAATATCGGAGGAAAGTAATCTTCGCTTGAATCTTCTTTGACATGATAATACTTGTCAAAAATTCGTAATTTTCCACTAGTATATTTCCTTCTTGGTGATGGTATTGTTTTTAGAGTTTGAATTAGCTCTCTCGTAGTGTTATTGTCGTTTTCATTGTCAATAATCTCTACAAGTACCTTTCCATATTTGTCAAATTCTGAATGATATTTTGAGAGAATTAATTTCTGGAAAAATTTTAAATGTTCCTCCCATGAGCATTGATGAATGAGAAAGATGTTTCTGAAACATGTGAAGGAACCATCCACGAAAAAATCCACCACAAATCGATCTGTATCTATGACTTGTGTTAGCACTCCACTGGAATATATTTCAGAACAAAATTCCTTCCAATGGTTCACAAAAAATTCAGTCAAGTCATTCAGAAAGTCCATCATCGAGTTGGGGTGTATGATGTCCATATTCCAAACTTCAGAAAACGTTTGTTGTTCCAAAGATGAGTTCATGCATGATCTGAAATGTCGACCATTGCTACGTGTGGTGGTCATGGATATTTGTTTGTAGAAGGGTGATTGATATTCCGAGTTCGCAAATATGGTCTTGACAAGATAAATTAACCTTGGATAAAGAGATACAAAACCATTCGATACTGACTTTACAGTATGGTTACGTCCAGCATTTTGTTGTAAATATCGATGACATTGGCTAGCATGTCTATTTTTTCCAATGGCATAATCTCGTCGAAACATAAAGAAATGTCTCGATTTGCTGTCTAGTGTGTTCAATAATTGGATGACTTTCTCAACCGTTTCTTTGAAGTCCTTTGGAAAGTTAAATTGTTTTTCGACAATCTCTTTCGAATTTAAATCAATGTTGTGCTTTGTTAACGATCTATCCCAATGTACAGCTCCTCTTCCTTTCACACCAGTGAACAGTTCAGCGTTCAACACTTTCTTGGCAAGAGTGCGTAACTTTTCTTTGACTTGTGTTTTAACTGTTCGAGTTTTTAAGAAAAGAGTCAATACATGTTTCCAATTTCTTTGTTTTTTTGCTCTTTTTCTTATTTGCTTCTCGAAGAGTATTTCTATTACCTCACGCTTTGTTTTTTCTAGACGCACATCTTCGTCGAGTGAGGAATCAAGTGAAACCACTGGAATTGCCACTCTCCGACTACACGCAAGAACGTTTCGTAAATTTCTTAAATTGATATTCGATTGCATGATCTCATCTAATTTTTGATCACCTGTCACATCACATTGTAAATACGTGGTAAGCCATCCTGGAAATAGGTTGTTCATGGTACGAATGGCCTTAATCAACTTGAATCTAATTTGGGAAGAGCTGTACAGTCCTGGCTCGTTCTGAATCAAATAACGAAACATGCTCTTTTCTTTCCCTAACTCTCGAACCTTTTCACTATACTTCAATCGATGCCATTCGTTGGTCACATTGTTATATGTCGTATTGAAATTTTCGTAACACTTTAAATAAATAATTCTATTCGTGGCATAATCTGTAATATCTTCAATGACTTTTCTATGATGTAAAAACACCATTAATCGATAATATTCACAAGAATCACATGAAATTCTTTCATCACGTAGAGTTTCATCGCTATCTAAATCGTCTTCACTCATAATAGAATTTATATTCAACATTTGGAGTGTAATATTTTTCGAAATATAGAGCAAGCCTTTCACAGCACGATCTTGCACTGATAAAAATTTATAAATATTGAACATAATTTCGCAAGGCAATTGAACAAATAATTGTCCGTTGGCATCATCCCAGGAAGTAACTACATTTTGATCGATCGGAGTGATGATTGAATCCTGTGGTTCTGAATGATGAATCAATCTCTTCTTCTTTTCACGAGAGATTTCAAAATTCTCATCATTAGGATGTTCTTCTAAATGATCGTGTGATGAATCCTCGTCGTACTCAGTTCTTGAATCATGACGAAATTCACAGTTTGAACGTTTGGACATTTTTTTCTCGTGGTTTACAATGAAAACTGTTTTCTTCACCCTTTCTCATTTGAGAACGTTGACCTCCATCCACAACCACTTGTTCCAAGTTCCCCCTCGTTGGTTCCCTCTTCACACGTTTCATGTTTATGAATTCACATTCAAAGAAAAAGTCTAAAAAAAAATTCAAAATCATCACACATTCATTGATTAATCAATTTCATTCAATACCTAACCAATTTCATCATGTACATTCCACCTCTTTCTCTCGTCTGTAAGCTTGAATATGATCAAGTAAAATTCTCAGATCCAGGTGCCAGTATGATCGGAATGGCCAGTATTAGCGCTCCAGCCTTTGAAAGCCAAGAATTTCAATCACGGGCTCCCATTGATCTCTGTTGCGTGATTGATAAGAGTGGATCTATGGAAGGATCAAAATTAGAACTCGTGAAAACCTCTCTCCGATTCATGATTGATCAAATGAAACCTCACGATCGGATTTGTGTTATTGAATTTGATAGCCATGTAAATACTTGTTTGCAACTCACACAGATGGATAAGGCTGGAAAGACTTTGGCTCAACATGCCGTTGCATCCATCAAGGCTGGTTCATGTACGAATATTTCTGGTGCCTTGTTGGAAGCCTTTGATATCATGTCCCAACGATCACAAAAGGCAACCATTTCATCTATTTTACTCTTTACGGATGGTTTGCCAACAAAGGGAATTATGGCACAAGAGAAATTGGTACAAATGGTTGAGAAGTGTATTGTAAAGAGTTCAAGTTCATTATTTACTTTTGGATTTGGTGAAGAACATTCATCGAATTGTTTGGTTGCGCTCAGTCAATCGGGTGGAGGCTTGTATTATTATATTAAGAAAGATGACGAAATTCCTCAAGCATTTTCAGATTGTTTGGGAGGATTGTTAACAGTGTTTGCTCAAAATATTGTATTGAAAATTCAATGTACAGGAGATAATGGAGTCATTTTGGAGTTGTTATATTTTGGCACCTTACACCTTACACTTAGTGTCAGTGCTGTTTGCATTTGACACTTGAGTGCCAAATGAATGAAGTGTGATTTGTATTTGACACTTGAGTGTAAGGTGCTATTTGTATTTGACACTTGAGTGTAAGGTGCGAAATGGATGTTGATTGAAATGGAGGTACTAGTTTGTGAACCTAACCATTCTACTTCGTGTTCATATAAAAAGGTCAATAACGAATCTATCAAACAAAAAAAAGGCATGATTTAATCTCATGCATCTACTTTCCTTACGTATGTTAGCTTGGACCTTCGTATGAAAGGAGTTAGGAGGCACAAAAGATGATATGTTCCTTTCATTCACGATGATAGACTCAGCCGTTAAGAAGTATGACTACGAAACAAAAAGTGATTCCAGTTCCCTTAATTGTACCCTTCTGATTGCTTCAGCTTGACTTTTGCTGTTACCGTCATTCCCAAATCACTCAAATTCGATTACATCAGCCAACAACAGTGTTGAGCACCATTCTCTTGTTCTTCTCACCGTTTTTGTAACAATTGAACAAAAGTACATGTCACTATGAAGAAAAGCTGGCAAGTTTCACTCCCCTGTTGAACCAAATGAAAATGTTTTCCTGTACTGCAAGTGTTTTTCCTCAACATAAATCGTCTCTCAAGTTCATTCAGCAAGCTCTGACATCCTGTTCGACAACTTCATCTCAATCTCTTTCAACGCCGTGTTGTATGGCGCAACATCAACTCAGAAAACAGGTGCTGAACGGTGGAACATTATTTGAACCACTGCCTCACAACGCTTCACCTTAGAAAATGAGCGTGAGTCTATTCTTCCCTCCATAAACTAAATTTCGTAGATGATCATTTGGTATTGTCGTTGTCAGACGAATTGTCCAAAAATTGCGTTCGTGATGCTGTTTCCTATACTCGATGATGATTGTGTAGTGAAGAGAATTTTGAGGCCCGTTGCTCACAACCGTGAAGAGGTTTGTAATTTCAAAATAATATTTAAAGTAAATAAATTAAAAAATATACAGGTGCTGATGACACTCGGCACTCAAGTGTCAGGTGCTGTTTGCATTTGGCACTCCAGTGTTAAGTGCTATTTGTATCTCCTTTTTGGGACTACCTGCCATTGCAAACGGCACTAAAGTGTAAGGTGTAAGGTGCTAAAAGGTATGTCCTCATCATTGTCATCCACACCTCAAAATTTTCACACTTCCGAACAACAACTTGATCGACATTCTCTCTCACACGATCGAGGGAATCGTTCAATGGAAGAAAATCTTCCTCAATTTCATGAACATCAACAAGATGAAATGTTTTCCAGTGATCATGAAAATCCATTTCGAATTGATCCTGAAAATTTAAATTTTGAAAAAACGGATTTGCAAATGGCAAAGTCAGACAATGACACGGATGGAATTCATGTGTTGGAAGATGGTCACACTCCAAATGTCATTCATTTTGAAGAAGAAATGGAAACACCAGCATTGGAAGAATATGAAATTCAACAACAAGAACCACAACCAACTCCACAGCAACGAACCATGAGAACGACGGAAGAATCGTTATCATGGAAAGATCGATTTTTAAAGGTATTTAAGAAAACTCCTTCACGTCCTTCTTCTTCATCATTAGTCGCTGAAAATCATTTCGCTTCACCACCAATGACAACACAAACCACAAAAATTCCAAAAAAAACAGTGGGATGGTAAGTGCTATTTTCATGATTAGAATGATACCATTTTCTAAAATAATTATTAAGGGAATCTTCTCAAGATCAAGTGCTTCCAAGATTTTCTAAAATTGCGAGAATATTGCATTCCGCACCTTCTCATTACAGTAGTGGAAGAGGACATATTTCACACAGAAAACACAAAATTTCTGGTTCTATATGGTTTAAATGCATTCACGGACTCTTTAAAGTCTCCACTTTAATTTTACTTTATATGGAAATTGTGTATTTGATTTTATTCATCGTGGCTCTTGTTCACAGTTTACAAAATAAGGGATTTTTTGCAGGAGGAAATTCCCTTAATGTCTTGTGGTTAAGCTTGATATTCATGATATTGAATGCACTTTTTATTTGGGATTCCTTTGGAGATTATTTCATGTTGTATTGTTTTTTTGTGTGTTGTCGAAACAAGTACTTGAAACGAATGGAACAGAGTGAGAGGAAAATGTTACAGACTCAACGAACAACAACAGGAGGAGGACCTTCTTTTCTTCGACATGAACCACAACCTCAACAACCATTGACACAACAAGAGAGAGGAGTATTAAATTCTCCATTTCCTGATCAGAATTCAACTACATCTCAACCACAGATTCAAATTTCACCACAACAACAACAACAACAATTACGTCGTCAACAATTTCATCACAAACATCACCCTAAATATTATTCTCCCTTAATGTATTATGAATGGAAATTGATTTGGTTCATTTTAACATTAATCACGTGCTCAGCTTGTTTGATATTAATTGTAATGATTTATGTCTGTGACGCCTTTTTAGGAAATGATCGAGTGTCGGGATGGTTTGCGTTTTGTTTTTTAGCTTCCTTAATGGCTTACTTTTTCATTTCATGGCATGAATTTATATTGGCACGACACGATCATGAGTATACTCAAAAGAAATTGGTGAAACGTCGCTTGCTGTTTGTGAAATGGGATTGGTGGACTTGTGTGAAATTTTTATCGAAAATTGGTTTACTTTTCGGAATGTGGCTCGTCATTGGAAGTATTTTCATTCTGGTCACGATTCAAGCAGTGTTCACAGCTAAAACTCTTTCGTACATTGATTTAAGCGGAGGAGCTGCACAAATGGTGACCATCAAACCTCCAAAAAGTTCTCGTTTTCAACTTCATTTGTATTGTGAAGGACCGAAAGCGAGTGACGATATCATACTACTCGATGCTGATGTTGGAATTGCATGTCCCAAATGTTATTTCCAACCATTCGTTGAACTTTTAGCTACAAACGGCATGAGAGTCTGTGTACTAGAACGGGCAGGTTATGGATTTTCATATTCGGGTCCATTTCCTCGAAATTTAGGAAATGAAACAGCTGCCGAAGTGGCTGCCTTAATGCGTGAAACATTTTTGGGGCAAACTGTGGTCATGATTTCACATTCGAGTGCTACCTTTACCTCTCGAACTCTATTACAGTATTATCCCAAATTGTTACGAGCTGTCATATTGTTACATCCAGCTCATGAGAGACTCGAAGAACGAGTCGGAATTTTGAAAATTTATAACCAACAAGAAAGATTGAAACAGAAAAAAGAAGAATTTCTAAATCAATTGAACACATTGAGATTTCAATCGGCTCTTGGTTTGACACTCTTTCCAGGAGTTTTGAAACCATTGCACTCAAAGCATGAAGAACTCTTGGAACGGTATTATTTAGGAGGAGTGAAATCATATGTCTTGTCATTTCCAGAATTTAAACCCAACTCGAACATCACCGTTCAATACGCGTCCGTGTTACGTCTCACGAATTTTATTGATGCTGTTTGGAGTGAAATGTCACAAATGCCTCTCGTGTTTGAATTCATGAAACAATTAAGGACGAGTGACAAATTTTTCGATACACGAAATGAAACTCCACACCCTGTCAATGCCACACGAGTCGTTCGACATCATGCTCCAATTCCTTTTCTCATTTTGACCTCTCGATTTCTCATGAATGGAACTTGTGAAGAAAATAGAATTTTGATGATGAACAATTTCGCAACAAGGAATGAAACTCATGATGAAGTGTTGTGTCAACATTGGAAAGAACATGTTTCATTATATGCTCAATTATTTAGAGAATTACATGGAGACTTGTTTGAATATTATGCATCTCCGAAAACGAAATGGGAATTTATTGAGGCTGACTATGACATGGCATTGACACATCCATTTTTATTGATGCCTTATGTGAAGCAAGCTTTGGAATTATCAAAGTCTTAGAGAGTTGAATGAGAACGATTCATATTGGAAAAGACTTTGAAACTCTATTCTCGACTTGACATTATGACAGCGGGTAAAGGTCACTACTAACTCAATTCTTCATAAAATTTTTGATGAATCCGTTTAAGGTTATTAAAACCTTGTCCAGTGCAAGAGGAATGAGAAGATTTCTGGGACTACATGAGGAAGGATGGTTTTCACAAAATGTTTCAAGACCACGACCTCTGAGGGTGATTGTTCCATATTGAATCTCTCCGCACGTGTCGCAATTATGAGTGCAGCGGAGGTTTTCACACTCGCGAGTGCACAATTTGTGATCAACTTGCTGGCTCCGACGCGTTGTTCTAGAATCAAAAAGAATGAAACAGTTCATGAATCGTCGTTGCTGCAGGATTCTGACCTTTTCAAATTCTTGCCATGTTCATTCACATGGTTGTCTGATCATGATAACGACACTGATCATGATGGTCATCATGTCCTGTTGTCCATTCATGCACGGATTCACTTTACGATCCTCTTCGGAACCACAACAACGGCAAATCCATCATTCTCATCATCCTCTTCTCAACAACCAGTTCGAAAATTCTCCAAATTCCTATGCTTCATCTTTGATGATCATTCATTCCATCACGAATTTTAACAATGACAACAACAACAACAACTCGACCTCTTCAACAGCTCTCTCCTGCAATACTCCTTCGTGTATTGTTCCTCTCATCCTCGTACCGTGTGGTCTTGTATTCATCTTTTGTGTCATTCCCATCTCGGCCTATTTGGCTCATTTCACAGTTGCCAATTCACACGATGGATGTGATTTTGCAAAATGGATGTTTAGAAAGAATCATAATAACAATAACACGACTGGTACTACTGACACGCAACAAGAAGAGATTGTCCAAAATAATGTGAACCCTCATGAGGGTCATGATGATGAAAACTTTTCAAATATGCAAGATGCAACCAATGCTGTCGTTTATTACGAACGAAGAACAAGTCATGATGAAAGGCATGTTTAGAAAGAGACTGATGATAATAAGGAGACAGACACACCAACATGTATGTGAATTCTCGTTCATTGAAAATTTCCTTA